GTCTCCCAGCTAGGCCTTACTGGCTGTGGACTCGGCATCGCGGCGGCAAGCAGGTTCATTTGGCTTTAAGGCCGCGGTCGTGGTTGCGAACCGCTCGAGTTCTTTGCGTAAACAACAAAAATAACTTGCCCGATGTGCTGGGAAGGGACTCAAAGCGGGGCTGAAGTCCCGTGGGAACTACATTGCTCAATGACGTTGCTCGCTTTTCTGCTCGTTTTTAAGGATTTTGAGATGCTATACCAAGCAACTGAAAATGAAGAAGTGTCCAAGTTCCTGAAGATGACCTCGATAGACAAGCCTGCACGAGAGGAGATTACTGTCTAAAGGACTGTTTTTGGCATTTGGTAGTTCATGAATGTGACATACTAAACGTCTGTATTTTGTTAGGTACTCAGAATAAACATCCTGGAATTTATTATGATACAATGCTTCTATTTTCTGTAGTAAAATAGTGATCTCTGCTTCATTGTGTTAAGCCAGCTTTTAGAAGCCTTTTGCGTGTTCTAGAGAGTTTCACAATATAGTTCAAAACTGTTCATAATAAACTTCTCAGTCTAAAATGTTATATATCAAGATCACATAGTATGGACGAATCACAAAATACTTCTGTTTTTGTAGGACACCCATTCCAAGACACCTGCTTGGTAATTATTTACTTTCTGATCTATTCAGATGGGCTTCACACCTCATCCTTTTTCATGCTAAGCGTAATCCATTTCCAAAACAAGTGTTATGATAGTCTCCACTCTGCTTTCATGAAAGCACCTAGTAGTTTCACCAGCTGATTCCTGTTCATGCTGTTCATTTTCCATAGCAAAAGAGGTTTCAAGCAGAGCTTAACTTACTGTGGGGCTAAGATGACCTCTGGGTTTTTTTTTTTGCTCCCGTGCATGAATATAGCAGACAGCATGACACTGGTCATTCAGAAACATTAGTGTGTTGACTCCAAAAAAGGAACATAAACTAGGTGGAAGAAACATGATGCTAGTACTCAGCTCTGGAATGGAACGCATGGATATGAGTGATAGGTAGATGCCTTCATTTTCCTTGCACCTTCAATCAGCTCTTCATCAGAGGCTGGGGATGAAGGAGGGAAACGTAAACTTGGAATGCCTGTCCCTAAGTAATAACACTAAGTTTATCACTAATAAGTAATATGCTTTCCCAGTCTTGTACTTACCTCACAAAAAAAAAAAAAAAAATGAAAAAGCAAGACCAGCAAAAGAGGAAATCAGTAGTTCAAGGCAGGAAACCTCAATGGTTTGTTCCCAGGTAGTGACTTGTCTCAGTTTCATTTTAAAGTGGCTACAAAATTCTCTTACCATAATGAGGAAAACACAGACGACATGTGGCCTGATTAAGCTCTTAGATTCAGACTTATCAATAACCTGTATTATTATATGAATGTATTTAAATAATTCCTTTGAAAAATGCATATTAGGATGTTCCTAGCAAGTATTTTTTCTTGTATTTCTCAACTTGTGAGCTTGCATGAACAGCTTTAGCTAACATTGCAACCTTTTTCTCATTTCATGTTAAAAAAATTAAAAAGACTCAGATTTTTGTATACAGTACGTGAAAGAACTCTTTATCAGCTCAAGTAACAGAGCTGCAGAAGAGCCAGTCATTTATTCAGCATACTTAATCATGTAAAATCTCACTGCTGTGGACTAAAACTTCACTTTAAGTTAGCTAACTCTATTTAGGAGCCCACATTCTAAGCTTTCTCTTTGTCAAATTAACCTCACTCAACTCTGATGAAGGCTATTCAATAAATGACTAGCAGGCATGTATCTCCACTATGCATACCTTGAACGTATATTGCAAGATATTTCTGGTGTTTGAAATATGTGCAACATGAGCTAAATGATATAATCACACTTTACAGAATTTTCCACAAAGTATGGATTAAGAATATTAAATGAGAAATGAGTAAAATACCACATTCAATGGTAGAAAAGTTTATTACAGTGCACACCATTATAACCTGAAATAGCAAGTTAAGAAAACATATGCAGACATGCATTTTGTTTTTAAACATATTTTTGAAACTGATTTGTATTGAGCTTTACATTAATGAATAACAATAACTTGTTTTTTTTTGTTTTAAGACTTTTATAAACAGACAAGAAAACAAGATTTATTCAGGTTATACAAGTAAAGTGTATATACAGTGAAAGTAAATGAGATTCCTTATAATTAGAAACACCATCAGAAGCCATTTTCCCTAACTTACATTATGGACCATTTTTAAGACACTAAATGGTGGAGAGCAAGAGTGAAAGACAAGCAATAAACACTACTTAAAGACATCAGGATAACTGACAGCTCTCAGTTGTGCTTTAGTTGTTTAGACATAGCAAAAAGTCGATCCTATAAATAGAAAGCAAGTAAGCTCCCTTCTAACAAACCACTCTAAAAATTTAGTGATCGGTTTCCTTAAGAGCATCTGAATATAAGTCTGGGATTTGGGCAAATCCTGGTACAGTTTAGGGGTTGAAAAACATATCTTCTATAGCGATGCTGGGTGGTGTAATACTTCAGTATGTAAAGCACGTGGACTCTTAAAGGAATGCACCTGCTGGCTCTAGCAGGCAAATAGAGAAGGTAAAAATGAATAGCTTTTGTTTAAATAGGCATCTAACACTGCTCTCTCTGGCAACATAGGTATTAAATAACATAGCCCCCCTGTTGTGAACAGCATAAAGCTAATTAATTACACATTGGGAAAAAAAAGCAGCTCAGGCTGATTGGCAAGCTTTACAGGCATGGGGTGAAGTTGATTTGCCCTGTCCACTTTGACCTGATAACTGCCTTTGGGGAGGAGTAGGAAAGCAGGTTAATTAGGAAGTATATTCAATAGTCTCCTAAAAACCAAAAGAACTCCAAAGACTTGATTTTATGCAGATGCTTCCTAAATAATTAAAACACCTTAACTGCAATAGGTGAGAGAGACAATAGATCATGTCATGCATTACGTTCACTTTATTATATAGATCCTAGCTTGGGGGGCTGGGTTTTTTAAAAAAATCCCATTATTTTCACTTGGAAACACCACTTTTTTCAGCTAAGAGGGCCACTTCAAACCATGGAGATATCATGCAAAAAAGTCAAGACTGTGAGAAAGCATTCTGAAACAGTTTTATTGGAATGATTCAGGAATGGTTAATATACAGTTTAAATACTCATTGCCTGCCTTCTACATAGTAAAAATACAGTGTTCAAGAAAGAAATGAACAAATTCAATTGTTGCAGCCATCATTAACCTAAAAACAAGTATGTGAACCAGAGAAGTAGCATATAGGGAACACATCCCTACCACTCCTAATTGCAAAAGGTCTTCATCAAAACAAAGGCAAGTTTTACACACAGCCCACAACAGAAAGATTTTAGGTATTTTTCAGTTTGTGTTGGTGCCTTGTTCCCCGGACAAAGAAGTAATTCAGTCTGTCTCGACAGAACTTTCTTAGGAATGCAGATAGTTTGAATGCTACCATATGGCAAGGACAGGGGGACTAGATGAGGGAACTGACTTTGCTTTCTTAAACTTGGAGATTTTCTTGACTCTTAGAAATAGAGTTTGACCTTTTTTCAGAATGTTTTGGGTCACTGAACTGACAGAATTTGGCAGTCACTTTCAATTACAGCTTCTCCAAAATAATGACCGTAATGCACAAAACTTATGCCATACTTTCCTTACACAGGAAACTGCAAATAAGCACGAGTATAGTGACTTGTGTGTCAAATTCCACCTTCTTCACAAAACTTCACCCAGTATTCTTTCCTACTTTCTCCAAAACTTGACCAGTAGGTTTAGACAAAGAGAAAGATTATGCCAATATTAAGAAAGCAAGCTCACCTCAGTTTAGAATGATGCAATCACAGTGAATGATTAAAATCAGACACTGGATGTAAAATGCAACCCACCTTCCATCCCGAAAAGATCCTAAAAGCAAAGTCTACAAAACGTCAGCAATTACTGATAAAGCCTGTTAATAAGAAAGCACAAATGCATGTGTTAATCTTGACGATGAGGCAACATTAATCCATCCCTCTGTATTTTGATACTGTGCCTGCTTTTGTAAGCACAAGCTTCAGACAGCTAGCTACTCCCAGGCCCCCAAATCAGGGAGGGAAAAAAAGAGCAGCAAAAAAACTTAACTACCTTGGCTCCACACTAGATGCATTCACTCTGACATCTGTGGAAGTTTTATGATGATCTTCTCTAGAAGAACTTTCTCCAACCAGAAGCAAGTAGCTGCATTTCTCTTTTAATGGATGCTGACAAAATCATTAGTTGTAGTGAATGGAACAAAAGCCCCATACAAATGTTGGTGAGAGAAGTATTGCATTACTGCACTTTAGCCGGTCTTTGCAAACATAAATTTTTTCTTTTGTCCTGCTCCTACTTTCAGAATTTAAAACTATAAGCTGTAAGCCGTTTTAGAAAATATTTTAAAAGCACTGCCTCAGTTTTACAGCATCAGTTTAAGTAACTGCATTGGGATGATATGCTGCAGCCTTTTGCTGAGCTATACCACCTGTTTCTCTATCTACATAAAGCAAAGAAAACTAAAATGCACGTGTGCAGAGCTATTAGAGTGATCCTCTAACTTTACAAAGACTAATTATCTTTCTTGCTGTCTTTTGTTGCTTCGGGGAGTAAGTACATCATGTGGTGCAGAATGCATTTTAAATTAGCCACACACATTTCTTATTGTTCAGGGCACTTGTACTTATTTATATTTTTGCAGAATATGGCCAAGAAACGTAGGCTATCTGATGAACACTGGGAGTACACACAGGCTAATATTGCACAAGGTAAATTCACCAATACAAGATACTTTTAATAGCTTTGCAATTCCTGTAATAGCTTCATGATAAGGCAATGGCAATAGAAATAAGTTTTTAAACCTTAAAAAAAAAAAGTCCTGCTCAATTGCAATAGTTCTTGCTATTCAAACACTTAACACTACTTCTTCATTTGAAAAAAGTACTATATGCAACTAATTACTACCACGCACCAAGATACGCAATTACTATAAGCAGTGTGAACCGGTATTTTTGTAAAGAATTACATTAAAGGCTTTCACCCTTACACTGGTAAGGAAATGCCATTTCTGGCCGTTTTGGCTTATTTGCAACACTACCTGGAAATTAGCGTGTATTTCATTGAGATGCACTGAGTTTTGCACACAAGCATGTAGTAAAAGTCATGCCTAGGCAGCTACGTGGCCAACTTGCCAATGGAAAGGCTGTCCATTGCCCAAATCCCTTTTTCTTTGTAGGAAGAGCCCACGTGAATCACTTACATGAGAAATACATGGCATTTTTCTTTTCTTTTATCATCTGTACAGTGTGTTACAATACAATTTTAAATATCCATTCTACAAAAGAACAAACATCAATTCCAAAAGTGACTACAATGGTTATTATACTACACAACACCCCCTACAATTTCATCTTAAATCAGAATCTAAAAAGACACTGAAAAATTCCTGTATATTTCAGCAACATTTTTGAGGCAACTCAGGCACTAAAGTTAGTATCTGATAAAGTGTAACGCTGTTGCTTTTTTTCTGTATTTTTAAATAGTTGGATATCTAGGTATAACCCCATCTGCATTAATAGTACTAAAATAGTTTCTTTACGTTTACACAAAATGGACAAATTGCCAAGACAATTTAAACTATTTGAAAAATCGATCATGTCTAATTGCTTCAATTTCCTATGTTTCCAACTTTGTAATAACACACTCCATGTCTTCTCCCTTTATGTTCACATTTTCATCTTGTGTTCAAATTTGTGTTAATGTACTGTGAATGCTGCAAGCACCAATCAAATGTTAGAAATCACATCTATTTTTCTTGAAGCAGAGACAATTTTACTGTTTTATAAAAAGCCGTGGAAATTCCCTTTGCAAAGCATTTAAGGCAGTTGAAATTCATGCTTGCTGCTTTGCCAGCGCTTCAGCTTCCTGAAACAGCAGAACAGAATTACACATATTAGTACTTTATGCAACAGGACAGCTTACATATACCTGGGCTAGGCACCAATGTCTGTTCAACATAACAAACGTTACAGGAGTATGTGATTGAGCAAAGTGGGCAGCACTGAGCCCAACTCAAAGAGAGTCGAGTCTCCATGCCTAGGATTACATTATAAAGCAAATCCTATACGGTGCTAGCTTTACCTCCAACTCCAGCCTAGCCCAAACAGGACCTGCAGGAATACGCACTTATTCACCTTCTCTCTGCTGCCTGCTCTGCGTTCCTAACCACAACAAGGGCAGG